ATATATAATTACTATAATATATTATAATAATATTTGCCGCATTAATCCAAATGGTGACCGAGAGTCACTGTTGGAAAGCAAAGGATTAATATTATTATAATATATATAATATACTATAATATATAATTACTACAATATATTATAATAATATTTGCCGCAACAATCCCAGTGATGAGAGTTACTGTTGGAGAGCAAAGGATTAATATTATTATAATATATATATTACATATTACATATATTATATATAATATACTATAATACATATAGTATATATATTATAATAATAATACTATAATATTAATAATAATATTAATACTATAATAATAATACTATACATAATATTATATATATAATATATATTATAATAATACTATATATAATATTATATATATAACATATATAATATACTATAATATATAATTATTATAATATATTATAATAATATTTGTCACAATAAAAGTCACCGTTGGAAAGGGTTAAGAGTTGTAGCACTCTAACTTGGGATATTTTCCAACCAGATTTTCGGATGGAAGCCCGAATATTACAACGACACGAAGAATCTGCCCAGCACTATGCCGACCGATCTTCAAGAGCACATCAAAGCGGAGGAGCACGCCAACAGGTTGGACACGGTGTGGGTCTCCTGCTCGGGTGAAAATCCCGCCGATGTTGAGAACATGGGCGCGATTCAATACATCCCGCGTCGCGGTTTTCCCGGTTATTACTTCCCTTTCACAAACACCCCCGGATACCTCAGCCCCCTCGTAGCCGTTTTCTTCGAGAGGCCTAAATGTAAGTTTTATATATATATATATATCGATGATATGGCGAATAATTTAAATTAGAAGGAGGAAGCACGATTACGATTATTGTATATGATTTTTAGACGGTGTATTGATCAACATCGAGTGCAAAGCCTGGGCGCACAACATCATCCACGATAGATTCGAGAGGCGTGGCTCGGTGCATTTCGAACTGATGGTGGATTAAGAAAGCGGCAGCCACACCTTTTTCTGCGACCATCCACTACACAACACTCGAACGCGTCCAAAGAAGAACGACACAAAAGGAAAAGGAGGGAAAAGGAGCATACCAATAAGAGAAATTTCTTTTTTTTTAATCGGATCTCGGTGACCACTTCCTCCGCTTCCCTTCGTTTCTTCTCTGCCGGATACGATACCGCCCCCCACCCCCTCGCGGTTACTCCTCTCATCGTATAATATTCGATATTAGATTATTTGACCCAGCCATTTTTCACCTCTCTCACCCCTCCCCTCTCTCTCTCTCTCTCTCTCTCTCTCTCTTCGTTGAACGCGATCGCGCTTCTCATCGTCATCCGTGAAACGGACCGACGAGAGAGAGAGAAAAAAAAGGAAATAAGACGCTATAAGTCAACCCTCATTCGCTTCACACTCGGCATTCACACGCGTTGTACTCATCAACTTTGTGCGTATGTGCGTATGTGTGTGTATGTGTGTGTGTGTGTATGTGTCTATCTCGCAGCACGCGATTCTTCGATGCTCGTCTTGGCTTCCGCAAAAGCATCTTATCGGACCGGTTAAATTGGCTACGCGTATCATACATATATATCTGTGTATGCATGTATAATATATATATATATATAATATATATAATGTACATACGTAGACAGACGTAGATAGATAGATACGTATTTACGGTATACGTATCAGGATGCACAAAAAGGGATGCGCATTGAGAAGCGGAAAAATTCTGCACAAAAGAGAGGAAAAGAAAAAAAAAAGAAAAAAGTCACAGTTCGGGCGGTATCACGCTGTTTCTATGGAGGGGAGTGAAGGAGGGAGTGGTCGATCGAAGGAAATCGATCGGAGGGCGTAAGAGATTTCCCTCACTTTTTTTCGAATTTCCCCCTTTTCGCGAATTTACGCTTTTACTTTTCGTCGCTTGATTTCGCGGTCTCGTTGGCGGGCAGGTTTCGATGCAGATGCACACCTTTTTAGGTTTTTCCTTTATTTTTCTTTTATCACTTTTCTTCTTCTTCTTTCTTTCTTATCGATGACTTTGCCTGGTCGACGAGACCACCTAACACACGTGTAGGGTACACCGAGGTGGATAAAAAAATCGTTACCCTTTAGTTGGTGCCACGTAGACGTATTAAAAAAAAAAAAAAAAAGAAAAAGAAAAAGAAAAAAAAAAAAGAAAATGTTAGCGCGTTTATGGTGCACCCGGCACGGTGGAACTTTTGATTTCGAATTTCACGAAGAAGCTCTCGGATCTCGTGGCTCTCTCGGCGAATCTCGATCGAAAGTTCCGTCGTTTCGGGCGAAAGGGAATGAGAAGGGAGGGGATCGATCGAAATTCACGATATATATATATGTATATTGCGCGCGCATACGCGAGCGGATCGTGAAGGAAAAGGAACGCGACAAGATGGAGGAACGCGGAATCGGAACGAGACGACACGTGACTACTCTTCGATCGATCGAGTCGTTTTTGCCGCGGTGGAACTTTCGATTGGAAATCCTTTCGATTTTTACCAACTTTGCGAATAGATTTCTATTTCATTGGATAATTGTTTTGGAGAGGAAAGGAAAACGGAGGAATGAAACGGGTCAATTTTCTAATTTCGATCGTTGAAAAGAGAAAAATGAAAGAATTTTTGGATTTTCATTTAAAGTTCCGCCTATGAGGAGATAGGTTATATTATACTGTGTTTACGTAGTACAGTGATTAATGGTGGTAACGTGAATAATCAGAGAAATGGAAAGTAATGATTGAAAAAATTGAAAGAGGGAAAAAGAGAATATCTTTCTATTAAACGTCGTTAAACGAGAAAACGTATAAAAGCAATCTTATATTTTCTTTGATTTTTCTTCTATTATATCTATATGTACATATATATATATATTAAAAAAGAAAAGAAAGGAAAAGAAATGGAAAAAAAAAAACTTCAATTTCATTCGAATTGCTCAAATGTTTTAAAAAGAAGCGGAGGAAAAAAGATAAATTTCTGTTATGTTACCGCCATTAAGGTTAATAAAAAGATGTAAATAGATACGAGATTCGAAGCAAATAAGAGCGGAGGATATTAGAAAAAAAAAAAAAAAAAAGAAAAGAATTTCGTTGGATTTCGATTTGTCGAGAAAAAGCAGCGCGCAGTTTGCACGGGGAAAAAGTTTAATCAGCCTAGCGATAATCGTACAACACCGTATGGGATATGTATTTATGATTATATCGTACCGCATGATAATATCTATAGTGCTAGTCCACTGCAATCGTATAGTCGATAGGTTGTATCATCAGTCTAGAGATCAGAGGAACTATACGTTCCGTTTTCAACGATTTGATTCGAGTCGAAAAATTTCCACCCTTGCGTACACTTCGATTACGCGTCTCATCCGTTTCATTCAATTCGTCGTATTCGCCTCTCGCTAAGCTTCGTAAAAATCGATTATTTTTGTTATTCGATTCTTTTTCTTTTTTTTTTTTTTTTTTTTTTTTTTTTTTTTTTTTTTTTTTTATTACCAATCGATGGTAACGTACTTAACAACAGAATCGAACGAAATCGAACGTCCATCCTCTGATCTCCAAAGTCTTTGTGGCTTGAAGCATATAGAAGCAAAGCTGGTTATTCCGAGAGCTTGTTCGTTTTTTCGAATTAGACAGCGTTTGCGCGTTAGTCGCCGCCCCTTTCTCTGGGATCACCGTTTAGGGATGTTTTATTCGATCAAACGGCGTGGAAGAAGGATCCTTTGTCCTCGCCTCGATTGTTCGCAAACGCTTGTATCACGTTGAACACTACCAAAGTTTTACTGCCATTATATTGTATCCATCCGTTACATCCTCTTACTTACACGAATCTTTTTGGATTCAGTTGCATCAATCTTAAACCCTTGCGTACGTTGAAAACGTTCGAGACGTAGTCGTAATAGCGATTTTTGGTATCCCTGGTGTCTTTTTTTTTTTTTTTTATTTAGGATCGACAAATCTCAATTTTAATCGATCGAGAAAGAGCCGGTGTTAGGAAAGAAAAATTGCATTAAATGAAAGGATCGAGCGATCTTGATCGTGCGAACAAAACGATAGTACAAAGGCTATAGATCAAGCGATCCGAACGGGCGGCGACTTCGAACGTGAGCGCTGCCATAAAAATATACCCCACATCGTTTTATCCTTTATTTATTAATCGAAACGTATCGTGCGATTATTATTACAATTATTAGTATTAGTATATCATCATCATTATTATTATTATTATTCTCATTATTATATTTCTCTTACTCGTTATTATTATTATTATTATTATTTATAATAGTATTAATATCATTGTCATTATTATCGTTATAATGATTAACTTATTAACGATCACTTATTTTTTGAGTCCTCGCCCGGAGCCATTATTGAGATAAGAAAGAAACTTAATATAGATTAATCGTCGACGACACTATTAACTTTTAAGAAAAAAAAGAAAAAAAAAAAAAGAAATGAAAGGGTAGAAAGGAGAAGAAAGGAAACAAGAATGTGCGAGAGGATAGAAAAGATAAAGAGAAATGATGAATTATGCGTTTGACGGTATAAAGTACTATTATAGAAATTATTACACTTGTAATCCAGTGCACCGAATCGAGAGCGATATTATACATGTATATTCGTCATTGTGAAAACGAGCTGTTTCTAATAATGAAGAACAACTGTTGTTAAAGTAATAAGGTATTACGTTTCACTCACAAAAGAATGGATAAACGTGAACGAAAGAGAATGTTGGAAGAAAAAAAAGCTTGGTATCGAGGAGAAAAGAAAATATCATGCTTAAAGTTTCTTAGTTCGCCGTTCCGAATTTCCATTTTTCGAAACGAAATTGTATCAACTTGAAGGAAGGAGGATGGAAAGCTGGTAAATATTACAAATATTATTCAAACTAGTTATCGATCATGGCATATTTTGCTATCCTGCAGACTACGTTTATTCTCCAGATTCTATTTGGAACATGTTTCCTGTGTGATAATTGTTAACTCGATTAGCGCTTTAAGTATGCACGTGAGAGTATGCGTATGTATGAGTAGATGAAAATTTTGACGAGAACAAAAAAAGAAAAAGAAAAAAATGTGGCGGAATTATAAGCTTTAAGATATATTTAAAGATGTATCGAATATATTATAAAATTATATACGTATATTTAATATATATATTATATATACTACGTATGATATATATATTAATATTATATATATTATATATATATATTATATACATATACATCACATGAATACACCTAAGATATTATTACCAAAGATAATTTTATCGTAATTTCCTGAATAGCCGGTAAAATTAGTAAAAATTCGACAGAACTCGCGATATCGTATGAAATTTGAACGCTAAGGGGGAAAAAAAAAAAGAGAAAAAAAAAAAAACAATAAGAAAATATTATTCTAACCAAAAACGATTAATTCCCGTAAGTACTTTTAAGTGTGATTCGTATATTGTAACGCATATATGCATGCATACCGGTTATATTACTATTCGTTAAACGATATGTGTATTATTACGTAAACTATATAAGACGTTCGAAGACGTTCATCGTACGTATGTTATGTATATGTGTTTGGAACCGCTCGGATAAGTAATTGATACGTCGATGCGGACAGAGTGGTGGTTTACGTGACAACTTACCGTTAAGGTTATGTCGAAAATTCGATCGAGCGAACCAATATGTGTGATACTTGAAATATATTCATATACATGATCAGAAAATGACATGAAATTCCTACGGTCGAGACACATCGTGCGGTTGATTCTTAATATTGGATTCATCTTCACGATCCTCGCTTTCTTCCGATTAATACTCGCTTCACAAAATTGACTTTTTTCCGTTTATAGAGTTAACCTATTTAAATGCATACGTACGGAAATTCAAGCGATTCTTGCAACGATTGATATTTTAAATCAGGAAAGATCTGTTTCTGCTTTGATTCGTATTCAATCCGGGAAAGGAAATTAGCGAATATATCGATATTCTGTAGTCGTATATCGTATATATACGAGTACCCGTCACTGCATCTACCTTTCATATCTTTGCGACTTTTTATAGAGTATAGAGAAGAGTTTAAACCAAAGATGATATTGCCACAGTGAAAAAGAAGGGAATAGTTGCGAAAAATAATACTAATAAAATAAAAGCAGATAAATAATAACGAACGAATGCTCGTGGAACGCTGTACAAGCATTCCAAAGATATAAAATACCATAAACGCTTATGTTATGATGCAGGAATTCTTCCTGTATCCGATCACTAAGATTTTACCGTAGACTGCGAAGACTCGAATTTAGCATAGTGCAAAATCATTGTAAATTTTCTCGTTCCGCGATACCTATTGCTTTTGAGTCTTCGTACACCTACACTTGTTGTTGTCGATTAAAAAAAATTATGTACTTAGATCCATTGTGACGACATTGATTATTAGATGTTTAAGATATTACCGTTGATAATATATTACATATATGATCTACGCCAATATATAGCTGTCAAGAGGCCTGTCAGAGAATCATACAACGAGATGAAACGAGTAGCATGAAAGATCGTTTTAACTCGGACGATTTATAATCCGTGAAACTATCAACTTCTATACCGAAATATCGATATTTATTATTCCAATTTATCTTGACGATTGATCAAAAAAAAAAAAAAAAAAATGATAACACAATTTGGCAGTAAAAGGAATAGAATCAAAAGAATTTTAGGTTACTTTCATTCTTTCGTGTAATCGACTTTACGTGTAAACGAGAACAAAAATAAAACAAGAATAAAGATGAATTGTGAAATTGCGAAAAAATTTATCGTACTAATATCGAAAAAAGATAAACTAACGTGGATAAATGACAAAGTTTGAAACAGTATTCGAGAAATTTGTCTATCGAGAACTTTAATGTATACGAGCTTTCGATCCCATATCGTTGTGATATCACTTTTGATTTCGAAATTAGGGTTTCGATCTCGGCGACAAGATCTTTAAGCATGAATATTTGATAATAATTTAAGATGAGATGGCATGGCTGTTGATCATCATTATGCTTGAAATGTGTTATGAAAAATAAACAGAATGTATAAAAGCCCTTCATTTCGATTTTATTATTATTCTTTGAATACTACAATTACAATAAAAGTTAAAGTTAATACAGGAATACAGTAGTAATTAATTAATTAATTTAACCTTTACGAGTAATACGAATTTTTTTTGATTGAATGATTACAAGTTTGATTTCTTTTTAATCCATATATATATTTAACATTTTTATAAAAAATTTTCATCCATATTTAATTTGACAGGCATAGCAACTAAAGAATAGTATATATATATATATATTAATCTATGTAATAATAACCTTCAAAACTAATTGCATTTAAATTAACGTAATTGCGGTAATTGTTTATTTTTGTTACGTTAGTTATAACATGCCAACGAAACTTGAATGTCATATCTGTATATACTTCTTGATAATATTTAAAAACAAATTAAATTCAAATTTTTGAAATGTTTGATTCAAATAATATTTAACGATACTTAAGAAGTTAAATAACGATAAGATAAATTGATTATTATTACATATACGATACGAGATTTCATTGTTCAATTATCAATCGTAAAAATTATAAAATAAGCAATTACATACATATGGTAATTAATTTTATAAAATTACAATTATTCTAAAATACATAAGATTATTTAATAATAAATAGCAATTCAATTAATTCGTATAATCGGGAGAGAATTATTCTGTATAAAATTATTAATAAACTTTATATTATGTTATTATCTCAAAATTTAAAAGATATGTACATATATGTACAAAAGTATATATGATATGTATAAAACATATATACTTACGATATATAAAAAATTATATGGAATAGAATTTTAATTAATTTAGGGTTTAAATTGTTAAAATAAATTAATAGGTTAAAGAACGAATGCAATAAAATTAATCAGTTATTGAAGTATCTCTTCATATATAATGCAAAACAAGTAGACATAACGAAAGCAAATAGTGGAAAAAGGATAAAGATAGATTAAAAATATTAAAATCAGCGCCATCTTCAGAGTGCTGTAAATGAAACATAAAAAGAAAGGATAGAAAACAATAGGAAAAAGATAGAAATACAACAAAAATTGATTATCAGCGCCATCTTTCGAATATTAAACATATCTCTTCGAGGAATCATCTTTCTAAAAATATTCGAGAGATGGCGCTAATCTTCAATTTTTAATTAACTTCATTCTGCTTTTGAAAAGATGTCATTGATTATCAAGAGATGGTGTTAATGATCAATTCTTATCTTATCTCTATCCTTTTTTTACTATTTTCTGTCCTTTCCATTTGAATTTCATTTGCAGCACTCTGAAGATGGCGCTGATTTCAATATTTTTATCCTATCCCTATCCTTTTCTTATTATTTGTTCTCTTGTCTATGTACTTCCTTTTAACGCTTATAATTGTAAACGAAATATGAAATTTCAATTGAACATCCAATTTCATTGTTTCTCTTTCAAAATTATAATCTCTCTTAATTTTTAATGAAAAAGATATAGATATTACAATCTTTTCAATGTATTTCTAGAACGACGATACATATGATATATATATATATATATATATAATATATGTATGACACGTGTGTTCTTTATCAAAAATCACCGCTCAGCGGCAAGAATAGAATTTAAATTCTATAATATTTATTTTATTTTTTTATTTATAATTTTTATAGAAAAATAATTTATATATTTAAATTTAATTTCAATTTCTATCATTACTAACGTTGCTTTCCCCTATTTTAAATCGAATCGATAATGTTGATGACACTAAAATGATAAAAAAATTATCAAAACGAAGGGATGAAAAAATATTTTGAATGACTGATGTATCTTGTAATTATATACTTTTAAATAAAATTAAAGAATAAAATTATTAATTATTTTCGATTAATTGAAATTTAATTATAAATATGAAAAATTCAGTAATCTAAAAAATGATAATAATAATATATATATTATCATTTTATATGTATGTATATATATATTATATATTCATATTCACGTGTATAGATGATTAACGATCTTTAATCAGTTGGTAAGTATTTCAATACCATATTATGATTTTACTTTTGAAAGAAATTCATTATAGGAGAATCAAACATTTAAGACGATTCTTTCATTTATTTTGTCAAATCCTTTTAGTCGGACGACTCACGGCAATGACATTAATGTCACACGACACTGTGGACAGGATGTGGTTAATTCAGATCGGTCGTCATGTATGACTCATATATATACGCGTGTGTGCGATTCATCTCAAAGTGACAAAAAGAGAGAGGAGGTAACTACCAATAGTACAGTGATGTGAATCGCATACACGAGCTGTCACTGAGCACTAAGGTCACACACACGAGGTTTGACCTTAGCCCCCAATTTGTTTCTCGACGATCAAGTCGAGGAAATCGTTTTCACAGCCTTCTTTAATACAATAGTTTCATGACTATATTATACAGGTGTTTTAACGGCAATTATTATAATGATTTTTCTTCGTAAATTTGATAAAAATTTCAAAAATATACTTATATAATTGTTAAAAATCATTAAAATAAAATCAATTATTCAATTTATAACAGAAATTTTTACATTTAATGAAAATGTAATCTGTTTAAATCTGTTGTTAACATTATTTATATATATATATATTAAAATAAAGAGCTTAAACTTAAGCTATGAAATCGAATTAGCAATAATCTTAAGTGAAATAATAGATGAATAATCCGGAGAGAAACCACTTATTTTTGAAAGCCAATTGTATTAAGTCTGAGAAACGAACTGTAGATCGCGCCACTAAACTTTAATTACTTTCACCGTAAATTATGCATTAATATTCTATTTCTTTTTTCGTATTATTTAAAAAGAGATAAATATTATTCTTTTTTCTCGATAAAAATATAAAAAAAAGTAATCAAATCCAAAAAATATATTATTATTAAAATATGTATCATTATATATTACATTTATATGTATTACATTTATTTTAAATAATATCATTTATATTATACTATATCCAAATATAGTTTGTCACGTTCGATATATTTTATTAAATTCATTGTATGTATACTTTAAAAAAAAAATATATAATTTCATAATAATTACAAAATATTTCTTTGTTAAATAATATTATAATATTGATTTATATTACTTTGTAAAACAAATTATTTTATACAATTACTTGAATTATGTAAAATTAATCTCTTTTATAAATTAATCAAAATCAAATTTAGATTTTTGTAATTTTCGATTTTAAAAAATAATTCTTTAAATGTATGATCTTTTAAAATAATTTTACTCATTAAATATTAGTCATAATTTAAAGAACAAGAGAAGTATAATATTTGTAGGTGTAATTCAAATGTCAAATTACTACCGAGCATTGAAATCTTCATATACGTCGGTTTGAACAGCCGAAAACCTGTTCACTACTCACATAAGTATTATTCACGTCATTGTAACTTGAATACAACAGAGACAAAGAGATTGTGTATAGGCGTGGCATATGAGAGAACATAGTTTTATTGTACCATTATTATAATAGTGTATATTATAATTTTAAATTATTTAAAAAATTAATGAAATTTGAATTTTATAGTATAGATTAAAAAGAGATTCGATCAATCGTAATCATACGTAATATTTCTAGGAAAATTCCCATGAAATTATCGCTTGGAGCATAACAACACCATGAAACCAACACACTGATGACGATGGATTACACTACTATAGCATTTTATATACGTGTACAATCGACACGTCATGGCAATGGACGGTTTGATGACGATGGTGGGGACTTAAGGAGGGGCAGAGAGAAAGAGAAAGTGGCAAGAAAATAATAGAAGAGAACGAGATGGAGAAGAAGTCTGCACGGACATAGCGTGTTCAGTCAACCTGGTGGCGCTGGACAACCAACTGTCGGCAGTGGAGAAACTGTTAGCCGACTTCGAAGAACTCACAGTTCGGTGCAGGTGTTGTCGATCGTGTTGTTTCATTTTGGATTATATACGTGCATTTGCCATATTACAATTTCGAAAATCTAAAAACGTGATTAGTGCGTAAATTTTATATAAAGTCTTTCACTTGGGAACACAATGGTCAGCAAGGATTCGAAAATGGTCACTCCGGAGATGGCAAATCCTTATCTTAAACCGCCGAGTATGTCAACCAGCCAGTCTTTAAAGACTTTTATTTACAATCGTGAAACTGGTGCCTTTTTAGGCAGAACAGCTAGTAGTTGGGGTAAGTTGGAATATTCGATCGATGATTAATCGAAATTTAAATTGATCATTTGCTTAACTTTGGATTAAAATCGAAACAATAATCAATTGATTCTTCTAATAGATGCTTTGAGAGTATTTTATTTTAATTTTATATACGAGTTAATAAATATATACGAATGAATGTATATATTTAACAAATATAAAAAATATATATTTCATAAAATCTATATATTAATATTTTCAATAAATGCTACACAAAACGTTGAATCAAAAGATTTCTATATATTATAACTTTATTTTATTTCATTATCATTGTTAAATTAAATATTATAGAATATTAATTAATAAAAGTGAAAAATGCGACTTTTTAAAAATACTTTTGTATTTATGTATAATCAATATGATCAGTATATAATCAGTATATAATTTATATATTATATTATATATTATTATTATATATACTAATTATATATAAAACAAAAGTATATAATTATTTATATATTATATTATATTTATATATTATATTATATTTATATTTTATTTAACTTTACAAAAAAAATTTGAGAAAGGAAGAAACTAACCTATCTCGACATGAATTATTTTCAAATAAGTAAGTGAATAAAAATAGCAGACAAGAATATAAATAGTGAATTTTTTACTTTGATTGCTATTTTGATTAATTAATAGATATATATTTATTTTATGAATATAAAAAATAAAAAAATTTAGCTTGTAAACCCGTACGACTTGAATAATAGAAGATTAACAAATTTTAATTCGGATAGAGAAAAGTGGCGTTTCTTTCGGAGATTTAGAGAATTATTCTACATGCTTATATATATAATTTTTATAATAAAGAAATGTGAAAAATGTTTGTTTTTAATAAAAAGAAATATATCTACTTAAAATTTAAATAAAATTTGTACGTAGCACAATTGAAAATCTATTTACTTCTATTCTTGACATTGAAAATTTAAATTAATTAAATTATGCATTTTGTTTTTATATATCTTTTTACGTAATGTATATATATATTTTTTCATAATTTCATCAGAAATAAAAAATGCATGTAATATTCATATAGTAATATTCCATGTAAATATTTTTTCTTTGCATGAATATATTAATAATATATAATTTATGTATTTTAATTTATGTATAGTATACACATAGAGAATTTACTATCAAAAAGGCTAACATTATAAACTAATATTTTTAATACTATTTGCACATGATAAATATAAAAAGAGTTTCAATTATTTTTATCTTTAAATTTATTTTTCTACAAACAACAACAAAATATTCAATGTTAAAAATATATCAAATAAATAATTTATAAATCTGTCTCAGGAATTTTTTAATTATAATTGATATTATAATTTGTTTTTTTATAATTAGTAATAGTGATTCTATTAATAAAAATTATAATTTTATTTTTTATCTATTTCATATTAGTTATTCTCAATTTACTTTTTTCACTTATCTTTTTATATATAAATATTTTATATTTTATATTTTATATTATATTTTATATTTATATATTTATCTTTCTATCATTTACAAATAATAGAATATGAAAAATTTGTCATATTATTTATATACATCAATTATTACGTTGTTATGGCAACAATTGAAAACACACCCTATGAGAGGGTGTAGAACAGCATATAATATTGAACATCATATTGAAAAGGAACATTATGTATAATGTATATTGACAATTAATATTGCTAATTTTTAATTTTTAATACAATTCCACTCATATTTATTTCAATAGTTTTTAAAGAATTATAGACAAACTACAGATTTATATCTAGATTTTACTAATCATTCATTTTAATAACATAATTTTTATTCTTTGTTTATTACACTAATTAAAAAGTTGCTCTTATCCGTATGAATATTAAATAATAAAAAAATATAAATGACTTCGTATATAAATTTATCTTGATGCATCAACGTGGTTGGTCTTCTTGAAAAATAATCCATAGAATATCATGTTACGATTAGTTGAATGTGTGCGTGTGCACACGTGCGTATGTTTCAACTATTTCAATAGTAAATAGAAGACCCACAAAAATGCATAGGAAGGTGAAGAGAATCGCGAGATTACATCTTCTTTTTAGTTTAATTAGCTCAGAAGCCTACTGCAGCTTTACAGATTCTTGCAAATTGCATTCACTGTTCAAATACTGTATCCTTCATTTTATCCTAACCTTGAAATTGGCTGATTATCCTTACATTGTTTCCCAGTTCTTTTTAATATCAGATCTATAATATATTTTGTTAATTAATATATATATAAGTATTATATATATATAATTATATATATAAGTATAATATATATATATATATATATATATAAAGTATTAATTTGATTGATCTTAATTAAGCAGAAAAGAAAAGAAACTTGACGTTACGATGTTCGTGCACATGTTTATCTTTCCGATTGGTTTAGTCAAAATAATGGATAATGACAAGAAAAAAAGGAAAAGAGAGGAAAAGAAGGAAAAGAGAGAAAAAGACGGAAGCGCGAACCGCGGCTAATTCGCGGTGGACACAACGGTTTGCTCGGTTGAATGGCAATTGTTAAACTTCCTTTAGCGCAAACGCGTACAACGAGGTCAATTGGCGTTAAATGGAGGCATTACGGCATTATGTAACTTAGGGCCATTCCGAAGGGTACACCCACGCGACCATACATATCATAGCTTTCGTTCAGCATCTCCCGAAAATTTATAAAATTAATCGCGTAAGAATAACTTTGTTCTTTGCTCGACAAATTCCATTAGAGTTTCTTCATCATCTTTTTTTTTTTAAATTTCATTTTTAAAAATAAATGGAATTACATAAATAAAAAAAGACAATTGAAACATCGACGCACGAGGTATATACGGATAATACAGTACATTATCTAGTAACAGATCTGTTTTAAATTTGAATCATGTTAAGATGTAATTTTTTTTTCGATAAATGTTTTTAAATGGTTTTTATATACATGTAAGTATATATATTCTCATCCTTCCGCAGAGTATATATGATATCGCGAATATCGCATTGCGTGCATCCATAGCTGTAATACAATACAGTAGTTAACTGTCAAGATTCCGCTTATTACCTTTCTTTCTTTGTAATACTAAAGCTAATTTGCCCGATTAATCAAAAAATTGTTTTACCATTCGACACAATAAAAGATTTGAAACTCGTTGGAAAATTGATAGAAGAATGAAATTATTTATTCAACATAATAGAAAATGTTTTTAACTATTTCTAAAACGAATATCCTCCTTTTTACGCTACTTGTTCTCCATGTACCCAATATTATAGAGATATCAATAATATTCGAGGGATATTATTAGCTTTTTGAGATTAACTATCAGGAAAATTTGTAAATTAAAAACTTACCATAAAAAATACCTTATATCTTTAATATCCTTTTTTTTTTTAAATTTAAAATAATTTCCATTTCAGTTGTACCATCAATCAACTTGATCACTTTGTATGTCCTGCACAAAATAAAACAAGATAATTCTCTTTAAAATAATATATCTTTGCGATAATAAAAATTATTGATATAAATATTGTATTCGAAGACAGATTCCATTTATGTGTGTATATATATATATATATATATAATATATAATTTGTGACAAGTTATTCGGGAATTATTAGATATTATTAGAAAAATCTGGGCTAATATAAAAATGTTGAGAATTAATCTCAATGATTTTTTACGATACGATGACGTCTGGCAGATGTAATGGAATTAATCGGCGCGTGGTGGTACGCTATGTAATATAGGTTAATTACATTAATCGCTGCCTCAATTCAAAGAAAGATTCAAGCGTGTGGTCAAGTGGAACAATTCAATTATGTACCGATTCAATGTCTCGCAAGGTCGCTTCTCGGATTCCATTCTCCGCTAAAATGACCTCTTGAGTAACACTCTGGTAGCAAGAACTTTAACCCTTTTGCCACTATCAAATTATTATCGAATTATTATCATTTATTTTTTATTAGATAACTTTAAAAACGGATTACTGTAATCCTTTGCCTAGTGAATGACAATGACAACCAACTTTCTACTTATTTATGAATTATAAAAGTATTACAGTAGATTGATTTATCACTTTCTGAATTGAAATATGAAAAAATAGTTTCCTATGTTCCAAGTATCCTTTTTATCTTATGATCATTTCATAAATTTGGAAGAATAAATGAAATGAAATAAATAAAATGTTTTGCAGGTAAAATAGGATTGTTCTATTTGATATTTTACGGGGTATTAGCCGCACTGGTTGCAATTTGTTTTTGGGGTTTTTTTCAAACGTTAGATCCAAGGATACCAAGATGGCAATTAGAACGTTCAATAATTGGAACAAATCCTGGTAAATTATATATTTTACGAATATGGATATTTCGCACACGAATATTCTTTATTTTATATTTTTTATTTGTAGGATTAGGATTTAGACCACAACCACCATTAGAGAATGTAGAAAGTACGTTAATTTGGTACAGAGGAACCGATAGCGAGAATTTTAAATATTGGATCGATTCTCTGGAATCGTTTTTAAAAGGTAATATCGAGATTATGATGAAACGTATACACGTATGTTTACATATATATATATATATGTACGTACACTTAAAATGACAAGATTAATTTTTCAGATTATATAACGCCAGGTTCGATTCCTGGTCTTGGCGCAAATATTAATAAATGTGATTACAATCAACCACCACCGCCTGGTAAAGTCTGCGATGTTGATGTTAAAAATTGGTATCCTTGTACTAAAGAGAATAAATATAATTACCATAAATCCGCTCCATGTATATTTCTTAAACTTAATAAGGTAACTTGATTTTCTAAATAAAAATGAAATTGCATGAAATGATAATAAAAGTTTTAACATTAGGAATCTAATTAAGAATTAAGATTAACGTTTGTCTATTATTAATTTTTAGATATATGGTTGGAAACCAGAATTTTATAACGATACGAATTCATTACCTCAAAACATGCCGATCGATCTCAAAGAGCATATCACTGGATTAAAAAATACTTACCAGCTTGACACAATTTGGGTATCTTGCGAAGGAGAGAATCCAGCAGATCAAGAGAATATAGGACCAATTGAATATATTCCACGAAGAGGATTTCCTGGTTATTTTTATCCTTTTGAAAATTCAGAGGGTTACCTCAGTCCTTTAGTGGCTGTTCATTTCGTCCGTCCTCGCAGTAAGTGTTCAAAATAAATATGTGTGACTTTTAAAAATTAAGATCATTTTTAAAAGTTCTGTTGATATTAAAGAATCGTTTTTTAATTTAAATAATTTAATCTATGAATGCTCTATGAATGCTTTTGCTTTAGGGAAAAAAGAATAATCTAAAAAAAATATTTTGTTACAGCTGGAATTTTAATAAACGTAGAGTGCAAGGCGTGGGCGAGAAACATAAAACATAGCCGCCATGACAAAATGGGCGTAGTCCATTTCGAATTGATGATAGATTAACATCGTCTACATACGTCTCTCTGGTCTCTCCTTTGTTAGCGTACAGAAATTCAAAGCGAATCTCATGTTTTCTGACACTTCCACATAGCTAAATACTTTTAAAACGATTTATCAAGTCGTTAGAAATCGATGACCGCTGCCAAATGTGGAAGAAACTTTCATCAAGTACAAAGTTAAATGGATTTTTGATGTTTGTACCATTGAAAATCCGATATCTATTAAATTTCTACGTATCGAGGGAAAATATAAAATTTGAAACTTTTGTTTTATCGTTTTATGTTTATGATCTTATTTTATTAGATAAAAAGAATGACTTTATGAAGAAAAAGAATATATTTACTTTGTATATTTATTTTGTATGTGAAGATAATCTCATTTTATTCATAATTGTATATTTTACAATTAAATTTTAATAATAAATATAGACTATCGTTTTTTCTCGGTACTGTAGCTGATATATAATATTTCATATTTATATTATGTTCTCAATTGTGTAATTAACTTATAATTAATGAATGCAGAAATTTTATCTTACTTCAGATTCTATTTCGATTCAAAAATTTTTGATCCTACGTTTTAATTTTGATTCGAATAATGATATTTTATAAATTAGATGTATATTTTATAAATAATTGAGATCAATATTTAAAACAAATGAATAAATACTTGTATCTTACAAATATTCAGATATAATTGGATAAAAATTGATTGCATAAAAAAATGATGTAAAATTTAGATATAATTAATTACAAATTTGGTATTTTTCTTTATTATAAAAACTCATTATATCTATGGAAAATAGATCTCTTAATAAACAAAGTAACAGAGATAATATATATCTCTTATCTTTGTATATACATTATATATATATTGCTTCTAAAATATGTAAATGTATTATAACTGTGTATACATATATTTTTATAGTTAAGACTATTTTCTTTTAAATTATCATTTTTATCATTTATTTAAAAGAATATTTTGAAAAGGAAAGACTTAAAAATCTCTTTTATCAATAATAAATTTTTTAAGAAAATTTATTTCAGAAATTAAATTTTCATTATTCATTATTCAATCTTAATAAATTTATTTTTACTATTTGTAATCTAAACGTTGCAATTATTTTAATTGATCAATGCATTTATTGTTCAAAATTGTAATTGAAATAATAAAAATATTATTATAGACATTTTTATAATGGCAAGTTAATGGCAAGTTATTGGCATTTATTGATATTATTTTTCTGTATAATTAATAATTAATATTTTCTGAAGTTCATTAAATTTTTGTATAACTTTTAAAAATATTTCAAATATCTTAATTCTTTAAAAACATTATTAATGAAGATATGAATATTTTAGGAATATCAGATGAATATATTTGTAAATATATTTTAAAATAATATATTTGTAAATATATTATACCATTATTATTATATTTTTAACATCAAATTGATACAAAAATATACATTTCATTTATTATTGTTTCTTTTATATATATAAATTAATTTAAAATTTAAATAAATCATTTTTGAAAATGATTTCCATTGAATTAAATTAAATTAGCATACTCAAATAAATGATTTATAGAATATAACTTATATTAATGCACGAATATTACAAAATTAAATTATACAGTTACAATATATGTATATCAAAATCAGACAAAAAATCTAAAAATTTCTTATTTCTTACTTTGAAAATATTTTAATTGAGCTAAAAAAATAAAATATCGTTTTATAAAAGAAAAAAACATTAACTTTTTTCTAAAACGTCTTAAATAAATATAATCAATTTTATAATTTTCTTTATTATCATGATATCAAGTATATATTATCATATATTTGCCTTATTTATTGCAAATCATGTTGTTTATTAAAATTAAATTTATTCTTAATATATGAATCTGGAGTTAAGTTAATTTTTTTTAGTAAAAAAAATTGGAAGAACTTTTTTTAAATTTGTAATTAACCGTAATATGTAAATAAATTCTATGATTGTTTATTTGATTATTACTTTTTTTTTATAATTTATAAACATATTTCTCCATATAAAAATTTTCAATTACTATTTTCAAAATTTTTCGATTAATTCAGTGAAATAGAAATATATTTTTAACTTTATATTATTGTTATCTAGAATTTGTTTACTTTTTAAAATTATTTTTATTTATATAGTGAGGTACATAATTATTTTTGTCAACTTAAACTACTTTTCAAACATTTTGTTTGAAAGTACTATAAATGACATAAGTACATCAATTTAATAAGTACCTATATCTAAGTATAATATATCAAGTTATATGTATATCAATTTGAATACTACAGTTTTTAGATCCCAAAAGACTCTTCGATTTTTTTCTCAACTTTTGAATAAATTTAATTATTTGTTTATATACAAATATGCTATTAGTAATATACATATGTTTCAAGCGAAAGAGAAAATATTTATTTACTATTGTAAATTTTATATATATATATATATATATATATATATATATATACACATGTATATATATCCAATAATGATTATAATAAAAATATTAGTGAAAAAATTAATAAATACTTGATTATTTTCAAATATAATATTTTTTGTTTTTAGATTTATTATTCAAGTTTTATTCAAGGAAATTATTATTCAAAGAAAAAATTTAATAGTATATATTTCACATGTATGTTTTTTTTTTTTTGGTAAGCAAATAATTTGCAATAAAATAATTGTTCATCGATGAAATTATGCGTATTATTTAAAATAAAAATTAAAAAAATTGATTTCAAATTTTATGTCATTTTACTTAAAATTTAGTCATTATTTAGAAATTATTTGTTTGCAATATATATATATATGTATGTAATCCCATATAAATAATCAACATTAAAAAAATAACAAAGTAATAACATATTTTTTTTTTTTTTTACGTTTTGCTATTTATCATAATAAATCACAAAAATAAAAATTAAAAGAAATTGATATTTTATATATATTACATATATGCATTCTTTTTTATATTATGATTTTGTTTAATTTGATATTTATATTATAAATATTATTAAATTTATATAATTTTGTTAATCATGAATTTTGTATGTCTAAATTATACTTTCTCTTTTGTTGGAATAGAAAAACAAACTTTCCATGACTATTTGAAATATTAGCTTGTAATAAGTACCAGTAGCTATACATATATTTTTTTTTTTCCTAGAATATGTAAACAAGACATTTATTATTTTAATATTATTTAGTGATAATGTCTTATCTATATTTGACTTTTATAATTATAATAAGTGCCAATGATTAATAATTATTTTATTTTTACAGTAATTTTCGCCAACATTTAACAATAAACACAATCATGAAATCGAAATAGTTTCATGGTGAATTTAATGGATCGAGTAAACAGCATTTTCTGACTTTACGTCTAATCTTATTACGTCTTTAATTTTTTATGGACCTATTAAAAAAGCGAAATATGTTTATTTTTATTTTTCGTTTACCAAAGTTTCGTTGATTGTTTTCTTCAAATTTACCACACATCTTTCGTTCCCGTTGTCCACATTATTCTGCAGATATTTTTGTATCCGAAGGTACAAGATTTTATTTCTATATAGAAATGCAATAACTATCATTCATCGATCATAAGTTCAAAATGTACCATGCCATGCTGTTGATTTTGAGACGTCTCATATTTTATATTCTTTGCCCAAGCTCGACATTCGACATTGATTATTTTATTTCCTAAAAAAATTATTGGTAATTTTTAAATAAATTCAATTTTCTCTTCATTGCAAAAAATAAAATATTGTTTTTAAGGTTATAAATTGTAATGAAATTTGCTCGTAAAAAGTTTCCACTTAATATTCATAAATATATGTAATTCTTCCATAATTTGTTATATATGTATGAGAAGTATATCGATTAACGAAGCCAAGACATTGTGCGTGTAATTTTAAAATTGTTTACTCGATAACATCGGCGGTAATCGTGTTGTAATGCTCTGGATTTTATTAGTTTTAGCTGGACTGTGTTATTTGCTTATTTATAAGTCGATCAAAGAAATTTAATTCACTTACTTGCTGGTCGAAGAAAATGCACAGCAACGACAGGGCTTAAATAACCAGGAATATTTTGATATGGATAATAATATCCTGGAAATCCATGGTTTTCGGGATAATAATTTAATTCACCGATATCCTCGTTGTCATGAGGATTTGCACCTTTGCAGGATACCCATACAGTATTTAACTGTAAAAACAAAAAAGAGAATAGTGTATTTCAAATAAAAAATATCAAATTTGCAAATTTTATTTTTAAGTATTTTTAAGTATATCTTTATTACGTAACAATTATAAAATTTAATATTATTTAAAGAATTTTATTATTTATTTTGAGCAATACAATAACAATGTATGCAATACTATTGTTATCTGTTTTTAAATATCGACTGATATAATTAACTGACCGACTAACTAACCCATGAACTGTTGGTAGATTTAATATGTTCAACAAGATCAGGTGGCATTTCGTTTGGTAAATTTTCGGTATCGTTATAATATTCTGGTATCCAACCGTATATCTGAAAATTATATATACTTATATATTATGCAATTGATAAATAAAGATAAAAGAATTAAAAAAAAAAAAAGAGAGAGAAAGTTAATAATTATCGATAAAAATAAAGAAATTGTGAAATCATAACATACTCTATTCAATTTAATGAAGATACAAGGAGCGGAATTATTGAAACCATATTGATGGTTAGGCGAGCAAGGGCCCCAATTGTTCACCTCAACCGCGCAAACGTGTCCTGGTTTAACCGGTGTATTATAATTACAAATTTGCTGATTTCTACCACCGTTTGGCAACAACGATGAATTAATATATTCTATAAAAAATAAATAATCCATGTGAAGATATTTTTTTCCTTGACCAATATTTAATTCGAAATATAATACATAATATTATATTATATATAATTAATACCATAATAATTTACCTTCTAAAAACGTATCTAACAGGCCTGTCCATTTTTGCACGGAACTAGGATCCGATGAACTGTACCAAATTAAGGATCGTTCGTCAGCATTATTAGACATTGGTCGAAATCCTAAACCTATTTAAGCAAACAAAAAATATTATCATTGTTCGATCATGCGTTATTTTATTTTTTATATTATATTAGCAAAATAAATGATTTATTCACACTATCTTCAAACGTTATTTTTACGATGTAATGTGTTTTTGCTTAGTTTCATTTATATTTTCATCTATCTCAGACGTAGATTATATACATGTATAGTTAATGTCATTGATAGATGCGTATTGATGAATCAATCGATTCATAATCGTTTATCGTAACGCTGCAAAGATCATGCTTTTGTTTCTCGATTCTTAAATGAGCAATAATATATATATTACATTTAAATAGATAGATAAAATTATATTTTAATTTTTATAATATTTCTTATTTTTTGCACGTATGCGTACTTACCATTTTCGAACTTATATTTCGAACTCGAATATTTTTCATGAGCAGCATGATTTAAGAGATAACGAGTTAATTTTTGTTTTGTATAAATTAAATTGTTAGTTTATTTTATTTTATTTTTTTTTTCAATCTATATATTAATGTAAGTTTACCTGGATTGGTTCCTATTAAACTTTCTTCAAGAATCCATCTTGGTTTTTCGTAATTTAGTGTAGCTAACAATCCTTTCATGCAAACAGCAAAGAGCAAGGCCAACGCGCTGAAGAAGCAAGTATAGAATGCTCCAGTGATGGCTGGAATAAAGTAAAAAGAAAAAAAAAAAATTAAATCTATTTAATAATAAATGATCGATATATTTACACCATTAAACGATCGATAAATCGAGGATAAAGAAATTTCGAAATTTTAATCTTATTCGCTTCCCGTTTATATTTTAAAATAAATCCGTTGTAATTTGACGTGAGTTCTCAATAACTCGTTACAAAATGCAAAAACAATTTTAATTTTCCATTTTTATATGAAAACGGGCCTTAATTCGCAAATACTAATTATAAAATCATACGTCCTCGAAAATTTTCTCCATTTCAACGATTGAAAGGAAAATATTTAAAGCGTGGGCATTGTGCCAAAGTCCGGTCTAAATATAGTTCCTTTTTTAAGAGTAGTATACGTTACGATTCTGCTTCTGCTTCTTGATCGCGATCAATTTTTCGAGCAATATTCATTTTTCGTGTGACGCGATGCCGTTGAAAAGTTTCTAAGTTTTCCTTCCAATCCAATAATATAACAACTTGTTAACAATAATTGATACGATGAAATGTTCAATCACTGGTATTAGTATTGATTATGATAATATTCAAAACAATTACACGTTTCAACGCGTATTATAAATATTTTAGAATTTTTGTTTCGAAAAATTTTGAAAAATTTTCAATGAAAATATAATGAGATTAATACATGTATTATTGTGCAATATATATGTATATATATATGTACATATATATACACTTCAGAATTTCATATTTATCACAGTGGTTTAACCTGTTCTACAGGAAACTATACAATTATATGTGTACATTATACGTGTAACGAAACATTTACCAATTCAAAACATATCTCTGTCTTACTTAAGTGAAACGAAAATGACTAAAATCTGATCCGCAACAATTTATTAATCGTTAAAAATATTTATATATGTAAAATATATATTCATATTTCACATTCTATATTTTAATATTGCATTAATATTGATAATAAATTTTATATAGTATATCGCAGTCATAAATAATAGTATCTAGTTTCGAAAATCAATCTCTCAAATGGGTAATTTTTAATTTTTTTTTTTATTTTGAATGAGAAAGAATAAAAAATTTTTTCCATTAACATAATCAATTAGCAAATTTACATATATATTAATTACATATATTTATAGCAATTTAAGCAATTAAAATGACTTCCTATTTTTTTTTTTTTTTTTTTTTTTTGCTTTTCATAAACTCGTTTTATTATTATTCATCGACCGAATTTAGCGACATCGACACTTGTGTGACCATTTACACGTCCAGTACTGTAAATGTGCTAATGTGTAAATTATATACATTTAAAAAATACAAAATTTTCCTTATCTTTTATACATTCTCATTTATTTACGTGTACATGTTAAATTGTAAAAAACGTAAGTAAAGAATCTTTTTGTTTCTTCAAAATAATTGATGTAATTACAAAATCTTCTTTCTTTTTCGTCTTGAAAAAATCTTTGAATATATATATTTTTTCTTATCATATCATATTTATAAATAAGTGTATATATATATATGATATGATAAGAAAAAATATATATATTCAAAGATTTTTATATATTATATTATAATCTAATAGAAAAATAAATAGTATTTATGATATAATATTTTAAATAGACTTCACAAGTGTGTCACAAACTCTTACTACTATTAGAAGACATTAGAAGCATTAATATCAATAAATCCTAAGAGAAGATACTTCCGTTCTAATCTTATTCTTTCTCTTTCATGCATCCTTATTCATTCACTTTCTCTATTTCTCTCTCTTTCTTTTTTATTCACAAAAAAAAATTTCATCAAAGTGAAATATTTTAAGCATCGTTTTCAAGGTTAACATTGTTTCGTCATTGAAAGTTAAAGAAATAGAAAGTGTATTTTGTAATGTATTACATTTTCTATAGATTTGTATATACAGTAAGGAATACATCATTTATAAAATAAAAATTAATAATCAAAGTAGAAATAATTATTTACGTGTTCTCGAATCTATATATTTGAAACAATGATAATATTAAACATACAAATATTTGGAATATGTGTTGTCTTATTTCGCATATCTGTCGATAAAACAACACAATGTGAAAATGATATGATTTGATTTCGTATCGTTATTTCCTGTATAAAAATAGAAAGAAATAAATCGCATGCATATTGAAAACGTAATGAGTAAGCGGTCTTAATTCGATTTTAATACATCCATATTTTTCCTTTATATTTTCCTCACGGGTATATCCCGCTAAAATTTTTTCCTGTAATTCCTGAAAACAATTTTTTCAATTTTAAATTTTACTTATATAAAATTTAAATAAAACATGTTGTAAATTTTATTAATTAAAATTGATTAATTAAAACAATTATGTAATACTGACCGTTGATTGATTGAAAATTTTTTAGAATTTTTCTTTCTAAATAATACGAAATGATTGTAGAATCAATATTTAATAATATGATCTTTTCTCGTGAGATTCGGGATGCATTTTCTTAAATAAACAAAACTTTGTAAAATTATCTATCTCAATCAAATCAAAATCTCTAGAGAATAAATTTTTCTAATTCCAACATGTACATTTACATATCGTATTATTATCAAACATTGAATGAATAAATTCCATCTTGGCTATTCGAGTGATAAATAATACATAACTACTTTTGTTATGGTATGGGCTCCTACGATACATTTTAAGCAATCCTCCACTTCCTCCAATTCTTGTACATCTACATTTATAATGCATTTATTTCATTTTCTTAATTCTCATAATAATTCAACATAATATAATTATTATTCCGCGAAATAAAATAAAATACATTCTTATAATATATTCATTTCAATGATTATTACATTTTATTCGAATAAAACGTACATTTAATTATCTTTTATTAAAATATAATTAAAGTGAAACACAAAAATTCTTTACGAAAATATTTTTTGCGTCGCTATTTGAATTTACGATCATCCGAATATTAATTGAAATTCATAAAATGTAATACCAGGAAAAAATTAAACTCTGCAAACATTCAATTATTTTGAACATGTGCCAATATTTATCTTCAATTTCATTGACTATTAAACTGCAGACCATGATATCAACAATAATAATAACAATATATATATATTCATATAGTTTAGATATTCACAGTATCGTTATAAATAGTTTGAATAATCTTTAAGACTTCTCGATGGAAACTATATAAATATATATAGAAGTTCGGTTAATGTAATTCCTAATTTCTTATCGTACTTATATAGAACACACGACGGTTTCAATGCCATTGATAACAATTAAACACTGCTAGAAACAGAAACTGTCTTTCAATTTTTCATGCAACATATCCCAATCTCAATTTTTATTTAATCATTTTTATCAAACCATGATCCTCGGATGTAAATTTATAATTGTCACGTACATATTATCTGAATATATATTTATATTTCAGATAATAATATAAGATCGAAAATATTTCGATTTCTAGATAATAATTCAGTTTTTTAGATAAGCATAAAAGACAAAAGAAATTCCAATTCTTGATCCTTGATTCGCGCATTCAATTTGATTGGATCAATGACAAGGAGAGTAGAAATTTGAAAAATTATTCGTCGATTTGTATTTCGAATTGAAATAACGCGGGTATTGCAGCCCGAAGCACATGCTATCCATGCGCCTATACAAACAATATCATTCGTAGAATGGCCACTTAATTATTCAATTATAAGGAAATAATTACCCCATTTCTTTCCCGTGTGACCGCAGTAAGTGCCTTCGACTGGATCGTGAATAAAATCTCGCAGAACTTTCCAATGCGTCTTTTTCTCGGGTACTCGCTTGTAATCGAACTCGTAAGTACCATTCTGCAATTGTTTGCCCGGCACACTCATTTCTCTCTGACTATCTCTCACAACACTCGTGAAACTCTCTCGTTCGACCTTTGGACAACAATTTCCCGACTTGGAACTTGACTTTTTGAACAAATCGAAACTGTCTCTGTGTGAGAAAAACAAATCGGTCGAGCGGCCGTCCAGCGAAGTAATTGTACTCCGCTCGAGCTGAATCAGCTCACTGCTCTCTGTCTCTGGAAGAGAGACTAAGCGATACTTGGGCAGCTCGAAGTTCTACGTCTACCGATCGAGTAGTAGTAGTGGGAAACGCCAAGATATGTCAGACACTCGTCGCCTTATGGCGCACTGACTCACAGCTAACTATCAACTAAAACTCATTCCCACGGATATTGTTTCGTATCAATCGATTAGTTAGAACATCACGTGTCGATCGTATCTTATCTAAATTACTCGTTAGATCTGATACGTTTAAGTGCAAATCGAGCATCGATATCTTGTTCTTCTTCTTCTTCTTTTTTTTTTTTTTTACTGTGAAAATTATCAAATTAAATTCTAAAGTTTTCCTAAACTTTAAAACCAGTGTGTATAAGTATTTAAATAAACCGAACATTGAAAGTCATAACAAAGAATTATCGACACACATTTATATCGATTCAATATGTCCTCGTTTATGGAAAATACCGTTTGATTCTTTATAGACGAATAAACCGATATATATATATATATTTTCTCTGTGTCACGCATATCCATGTAATTTATTCTTAAATTTGTAAAGATTACCGATTGAATTTATATTGTTTTGTGTGATTTAATGAAAATGACAAGATGTTGCTTCAACTTTTTTTTCGAAAGGCAAAATTGTAATTTTTATCATTATCTAAAAATTAGAAAGAGTAAAGTAAATATAATTTTATCTGATTTCAAGATAAAATATGTATTTGCAATTTGAAAATATATATATAATACTTTTAATAATATACATATTTTCTCGCTTATTCTTACAAATATTCATGATATATTTTCAAATCGTAATTCGTTTATTCATTTTCATTTTTATTTTGTTCATTTAAATAATACAAAATCACGAGATCTCGATATATTTAATCGTAATATATATAAATCTAATATATAAGATATTAGATTTTATCTATAGAATTATGCAATGATGTATAAATCAGAAGCATTCAAGGTTACATTATTTCTCGCATGTTTCTTGTCATGAAATATATCGTAAATCGCGTTTTATTGTAAATTGGATTTTATAATACACACATTGAAGAAAGATTCTTGTCGAAAGTCCACGAGGAAGGTGGCTTGAATCAGATTTGAATTAAATGATAAAAATTAAATTATTTCTTCTATACCGTAATTAGTAATAAATCTCAATTATCTTTCCGTAATTTTCGAAATGATTATTATTTTTTTCTTCGTAACAATATCTCGTTATATAAGAATTACAACAAAAGAGATTTATTCTTGGTACTCTTGTCACATTTACTTTTGTATTTAAATTAAATTAATCTCCTGTTTAAAATTAATTTTAATCAATGTTCCTCCTTAATGAATAATCTTTAATGATCTATTAAAAAAAATTATAGAAACAAATTGTTAAAAATAATTATTTTATAACATACCTATTATTATTTGAAAATCTAACGAGTATCGAGAATGTTGCTCGATATTTTGAGCCCATAAGTAGCATTCCACTGTCACTAATCTATTTACTGGAACGATACAAGCGTGATTATTTTTTCATATATTTGATCCTTGAAAGAAAATTAAAGTTAACTTACATGTTAAACTATTGAATTTTAACGCGACAATAGGAGACATATAATCTAGCTGTCCGGTAAATGGAAAATATTCAACTGGAAATCCAGGAGTTGGAATGTATTCTATTTCTCCGATATGGTCTTTATCCACGTTATTCGCTCCGTTGCACGACAACCAAATATAAGGCTGAAATTAAATATATATTTTAAATATCTTTTTCGACATTTCAAAAATGTTATACTTATCAATTGTTCAACGAAAATGTTGCCACATGTTGTTGTTTTTTTTTTTCTTTTTTTTTTTTATAAGAATTTTATCACGAAATTATTAAACCTTAACCTTGTGAGATTTTTGTACTACTTTCTTCAATCTCGCTGGCATGTTATGCGGCAAATACGACGAATAATTATAATATTCTGGGATCCAATCGAATCTCTGCAACAATATGCGCGTTTATTTTATAACGATAACGATTATTAAAATTCAAATCGAATGCAAAGATACCTTATTAAATTTAATAAGAACACAAGGTTTTAAAGGTTTTGTATAACCATATGGAGGCGTGCTACATATTCCAAGATTGTGTATGTTAAAATAACAAGATTTTCTATGATGTTTTGATATCGAATGTTTTTTATAGCAGTCTAAATCATAGTTTGATTTATTTTTATTATATTCTAAAATAAAAAATGCTTTAGATATTTTTTTTTTTTATCAATAATATTATTATATGATGTATATATATATATATATATTTATCGTATATTATATCATAAATATATTAGAAATACGAATTTGAATACAATTATTTTGTAAAATACCTTGTAAAAAATCATTTATAGCTTGAACGTATCTTTCCGATTTGGTATTGCCAGTTAAGTTACTCACCGAAATAATAGGCGATGCAATTGACATGCTATTTGGTTTAAAAACTATTCCTTTAGAAAAATTTTACTTAATATTTGCGTTCATATCAATTACATTATTAATGATTAATAGGATTAAATTATTTTTTTCGATATATGTTATATAAAGTTATAAGAATAAGATAACAATTACTTAATTGTTGATAATTTTTGCATAAGAATTAGCAATGAAGATTACCTGGACTGCCGAAAGTTGATCGGGTAAAACGTGAAGGTTTTCCAGATTTTGAACTAAGGTATTGAAAAAATGGTTTATCCAGTTGAGAAACGTAATCTATACTGATCTTCATTTGTACCGCAAATATTGTTCCCAAAATAGTAAAAAAGCACAAATAAAATAATCCTAATTGACCTAAATTTCAAATATATATGTATATATATATATATGTATATTTTGTATTAACACAATTGTAACGATGGAAGACCATATTTCTCTACATAGCGTAAAGTATACGAAAAAACAGGATGCGGTTAAATTAATACAATGCACCATTTCATTAATTTTCAGGGTCATTTCATCAAGTTTTATCTTTTCCAAACCATGTTGAATTTTTAGGATTTTAATGAGATATTTGTAGATACTATTATACACAATTATTTAACTATTATATAGAACAGAAGTGAAATAGTGAATATTAAATTTAATTACAATGTTGTCATAAATTTAATATGTGTAAGTTGTTATATATTATAAGAACATTACCCCACTCTTTTGCCGTTCTGTCGAGAAATGCTTTTTTCTCTCTATCCCAAAGAAACCGCAAAAAATTTCTAAAAGGTCCTAAATCGGGTTGCGGTATTCGACTTTCATAATATGCTTCATCATGTAATATTACCATATTAAGAATTGATCTTGATATTTTCAATCCCAACTTATAAAAAAGAAATGAATAAAGGTATTCTAGTTCTTGAAGCTAGTTATTTCTTGATTATCTTTATTGTGCATTTATTTCTTTTTTTTTTTTTTTTTTTTTTTTTACCAACTTCAATAAGTTAATCATTAGCGTTCAATGGTAATTTTAACGATTATAAAATTACTTTTTTAATTTATATTTTGAGTAAATTATATTAAATTATAAAAATAATAGTTTTTTTCAAAACACTTTATGTTTATTTTGATTAAGTATTTCTTAATATATTCGACCTTCGATTATACGAATCTGATTAAATTTATTGCGAAAAGTATTTATTAATATAATTATTAATATATTAATAATATTTATATTGATGCGCAAATTTAGATAATTAAAATATATTCGATGTATATAGAATAAATAGAACGAAACATAATAGGAGGAAAAAATATTATCACTCTATTAGAAGTCTCGTGTAAATTTTTGATTATTAAAAAATGAGATTTTTTGTTAACAAAAATTTGATAAAAATATTTTGAGATACATTTATGTATAAAGTCTATATAATATTTTTTTAAATTGGAAACTATAAATTAATTGTAATAAAATTATATGAAAAAAAAGTTTTAAATACAATATAATACAAAATATGATAATAGATAATATAATTTAATACGATAATAAATATAAATTATAAAGATAAATATTATGAAGATATTATAAAAATGTTTATTGAGTCGATCACGTTTATGTGATTGATCGTAAATTGTTTTGAGAAAAGTTTGGATTTTATATCGTGTGATCTTATTAAAAATTTTTAAATATTAAATTAATTTAAATATTTTAAAAAATCGATAATGATTCGTTTCGTTTACTTTTTATACTTTTATATACGTGCACATTATTAGATATCATTTTTTAACGAATTAAAATTGTGAATTAATAATGAATCATATTGCATTCTTAAATCATTTTTTTAAAAATTAAAAATACATAATGTATCCTTCCTATTTTAATAATATTATTAATAATATTAATATATTTAAATAATAAAAAATGAATACAATATTATAATAAAAAAGATTTAATATATATGTATACATACATGCTTAGTAAATGTATAGTTATGTCAAATATAATAATTTCATGGAAATATGCCTTTAAGTGCAAAGTGGCTTATATTTTCGGTTTCATGAATCGCGTCAGTTTCGGGTAGTTACATTGTTACGGTATGGCTGATGTGGGCCTAAGTTTAGATGACATAATTAAAAAATCAAAATCATCAGGAATGAGAAGCAGAGGTGGAGGGTAAGAAAATTTAAACAATCAGTGGTAAATTTAACTATACTGTGATTGTCGTGTTATTGATTTCTTTATAACCTTAAAAAAAATAAGTCTCCAATTATTAAAAAGAACATTTCTTTTTTTTTTATATTACCTACCAATATTTTTAAACATTTTTCATTTCATTCGAAAGATAAACGATATTTTTTTTATAAATTATTTTATTATTATATCAATTCGATAATTTTATCTCAGATTAATAAAAAAATTTGTTTTAAATTGCAAGTTATTCTTAACAGTTTTAAGTTATTATGAATAATTTCAAATTTTTTTTCTTACAAATACTTTTTATATCGTTATAAATCATTATTTATATGTATTTTTTTATTATTTTATTTCAAATATACATTTTATTTTTAATAGAAAAGAATAATTATGATATGATTGATATATGTTTATTGATATTTAATTGTAATATGTATAATTATTAATATTTCGGTATAATATTATATTTAAGCAAAAATGAACTAATGAAAAATATAAAAAATAATATAAATAATAAAATATAAAATAATATTGTTATAATATATTATAATATTTATAATATTTTTATAATTTTTTATAATATTTTTTGTTACATATTTTTACATATAGCGTTCGAAGAGGTACTAATAGAGGTGCAAGAGCTAATGGTTCGCTAAGAGGACGTGGTTCACAAGTAATTACTGATGCAAGATTTAAAATTATACAAAAAAATCGAGAAAAACTTACAGATGCAAGAGATAAACTTGCTGAAATTGCTAAACAAAGCGATGCTAGATTAAAATTAGATAAGATTCGTGCATCACAGTTTAAAAAAATAGAAGCACAGATACCTGGAATATCTCAGAAAACAGGTCGTAATGGAAGATTATCTTTATCTACTAATAAAATGCCACCAATTATGCCACATAATGTTCCACCAAGTATTTCAAATAATTATATGCCACCACCTTCAAGAGCAGTAGGTTATAGACCACCTCCACTTGCAGAATCTCATTATATGGGAAACATGAATATGGATTTTATCGATGGTACATACAAAAAATTGATTTGATACAATCTGTAATCTATAAAATTATTTAATATCTTTATCTTGTTTCAGATTATATGATGGAAACAGCACCTTTAAGAAGAACTGTGAGTAACGAATATGCTCCTACACCACCTCCTCCACCTCCAGCTTTCAGTATTAAACCTGCATCATCTTATACATGGGTAAAACCAACAAGCAGTAATGTAATAAGAATCGTACCTTCTCACAAACCTGATGATGATAGAGAACGTGAGAGAGCAAGAGATTATAAAGTTATTGCACGTTTTCCAATGGCAAGTGTTAGATATATCGCATAATTTGTTATTATATAGTTTTTTCAATTTTCAACTTTCAGATTATTCATAATTAATGATTTCAGACAAAACCTGCATCTCCCTCATATAAAGAAGATTGGAGTTTTGGCACGAAATCGCGGTACTTAAGTTTTTCATCGATTTCTCCAAATTTATTATTTATTTTATTAAATTTTATCATATATAATATTTAAATTTAATATTATTTTTATAGGACTATATTAGCAGAAGACACAGTAGATTCCAAATATTACGATTCAAGAAGTCATAGAGACATTGGAGTAAAGTCAAGATTAGATTCAGTTCCAAGTAAATCGCGAAATATGGATGTTTTATCTCGATCTAAAACAAGTTCCAGTTCATCGTCACAATCTACTGGTTATCGAATTGTCGTATCAAATTTACAAGCAAATGTAACTCAAGAAGATATCAAGGTATAATGATAAACTATTAAACATATCTAGTTTATCTATCTTAACAATTTGTATATTTTAGGAATTATTCGAGGATGTAGGAGAATTGTTAGTATCTCGTTTAGTACGACCGGGTACAGCGGAAGTAATTTATAAAACATTAAAGGATGCTACTAAAGCTGTTGAAACTTATCACAATAGACAATTAGATGGACATCCTATGAAATGTCTTCTTGTAAATCCACGACCAAAAAATAATCCAACTGGACCAGCTGTTAGATCTCTTACAGAGTATGATTTTTATTTTATTATTATATTAATTATAATAGAATATCTTATCGCATTTTTTTTTATTAATTATGATTATTCATTTTATTGCTTAATAATTATGAAATTTAAATATATCATTTACAGATCAAGGAGAAGTGTTAATTCAAGTTATGTACAACCAAGTTTAGGAGCAGTACATCGTGCATTATTCGATGATTCTTAATCAAATATCTTAATCAATTTTGATTCGAAATTGCCATATATAATGGCAAAATTTTATTCCAAATATTTTTAAAAGTGAAATAAAAAACAAAAAAAAATAGAAAAAAATGATTAAGAGATCAAATGACAGTAATACATAAAGAAAAGGAGTTTTGAATGGAATTTGTATTTATGGAACATCACATGTATCTTATTTTTAATTTATATATTGCAATTGAATGGAATTAACGTAATAGCAAGTGAATTGAATGTTATTATAAATAGCAAATACAAGAATGCTTAAATGTACATTTAAATGTAGTCAATAAAACAAAAAGCATTTAGGAATTTGTAACATTTCGTTGTTTTGGATTCGCGCTTATGCGAAGTTTTAAAAATTACAAAAAAATGTGTATATTACACTACAATTGTTACACTGCGAATGTAAAAAAAATATATGCCAATTCTTTAAAGTCTTTTATAGTGTAATGTTCAATAAATAAAAAAAATTATATGGTTTTTTATAGGATACCGAATAGAAAGGAATTAAGTGTTACTACGAGATAGAATGTACTGACTAAGATAAAGATATTTTATTTACTCGATATAAGATGATCATAATATTATCGTAATTTATAATTATGAGATATAAAAGCTAATATACTGTACATGTTAATGAAATGCACTGAAATCGTGAGTTCTCTTGGAAATAGGTATTACGTCATGGAAGGAAATTCGAGTAAGTATTTGGAATAGTTGACGATTATAATTCGACATAATAAATGGCACATAAATAATTTTATTTCTGATCACAACTACAATTTCTAAAGAAAAACAAACTCGCGAGGCACGACTCGATTTATACCATTCATAAATCTCCGGTAGATGCTATTAATAATATATGTATATTAACGTTGTGTACCTTTGTTGCCCACGCACATTCACATGAAAAAACCTATACAATTAAGATATACAAAATACAATAAAAAAATTAATTTCAAATAATTTAGTATCTAGTGACATTGCACGCAATCGCTCCTCTTAAATATTCACAAAATTTGTTCAATTAGCACTGATTATCAATACTGTAAATCTTACTTCTGTGAAATAATTTAATTTCGTCCTAAGTATTCGTTTTACGAGGTTAAACTTAACAAATTTTGAACTTAATCTTTCACTTGACTATATCTTACGTATAAAAGTCTCCTTTTTTTCCTCCTTCAAGGTATCGTAGTATATAAGAAGAATTTTAGCTTCTACGATGATTGTTCATTTTAGATTTATTTGGCAATCGAAGAACTTCCGCATAAGACATTTCTAAACGTTTTAATCGGGCTACTTCTACCGACGCTGTGCTCGGTTTATAGTCTCTATACTCGAAACTGTTGTTGTGTTGACCATTGTTGTTGCCCACGCTATTCGAAGATTTTGCGGCTGAATTAGGAGGTGATTCTTTCGTTTTGTTCGGATAGCTGTATCCGTTGCACGTGCTACTATTTTGATCGGCGATTGTGAAAGGTCTGAATTTTTTCTTTCCCCCGCTGTTCGATTTCGGTGGAACGAACTTGGGATTTGTCGTTGGAATCACATCAGGTGTCGTTGGTCTATCGTTATAGGTTAACTTTTTACTAACGGAAGAATGTTTTTTCGATTTCTTTTTACTGTTAAGCATTAAATAATCCGACCGATTTACGTTTCGAATTATATTCTTTCCATTCTTCGCCAGTGTCACTTCACCGTTTTGTTGTTCGTTTACTCCTCCATTCGATGAGATTTGTACTATATATGGTGGTTCGGATACGGCGGATGAAAAAATAGACGAGGAAACGCTTTGATTATCGTCAGTAGTTTCGCTAGGAACATCATCTTGGAGCACAGATTGTTGCTGAGAATTGGTCGTACTCGTAGAATCGTCCAATAAAGGTAATTTTTCACCTTCGTCCTTAGCTTCTGCCGCTCGTTTCAAGACTCGGAATATTTCACTGAATAATTGTCTGTATTCCGGTGTTTTCCGGAATCTACTCTCGAACGGGCTATTGTCGTCGTAAATGCTGAACTTGCAATCCTCACCGTCCGCAAAAGAGAAGAGAAACGAGCCAGGCCTTCCCTCGGTTTGCGTCGCTTTGTTACTCGTCTCGTCCAAAAAACCGGAAGACGAGGTCTCGGCTTCGGAAAAATCTGTGGGAGTGGCGGAAAACACTTTTTTACCGCACATCTCTGTTTTGGCACGTGTCGCGTTTCCAACGGCCGATTTTGCCGGCTCTTGTTGAATCTCCGTTTCCAACGTCGGACTCTGAAAGCTGTTAAATTCACCCGACATCTCTAATTCTTCTTGCAACGACATAGGCGTTGGCACGCTATCTTTCCGCCGAAGCGCGGATCGTCTTTGAACTTCTAACAGGGCTTGATATTTCTCCACTAGCACTCTATAAGGGTTCTTCATGTCGTTTGACACTTCGTTTTGATCGTTCGATTCCTGAAAATATTTATACACGATAATTTTATCTATTTTTAAAGCGTTAAAAAATATTAAAAAAGAAATTAGAAAAAAAAAATAAATTAAATAATAATATTATATAATAAAATAAATTAAATAATAATAAATAAATAAATTAAAGAAACATAGAGATACTTAATGTTATGTTATAAATTTCAATATCGCGAAAATCATCGATTTTATCGATAGTGGAATACCGTATTTAGAACGTTCGTCTTTTTCATTTTCGAAAATAATAAATATGCGAGACGTGGAAAAAATTAAGTAAAAATTTAATTCTGATCTGTCGGTGAACATCGATAATGATTTTTAAACAATTTCTCTTTTCCAAAAATGGAATTTCTGAGAAATTCACAGAAAGACTAATTGTTTTATTAATATTTAAAAATCAAGGGTTAACGGATGAGAGGTAAAGGCCAGATTTATAGGATATTAAATAAAAAAGCAAATATTTGTTGTATAAAAATATATTTTATTTAAAATCATATAAATCTGGCACTTACATTGTACAACAATTTTAACAAATATTTCGACTAGATATACTAACAATATTCGATCATGCTAAAAATGAAATGAACAAAGTTCGACTATAAATACGACGAAGCAAACTTAATTCTAAAAAAAAAAAAAAAAAAAAAAAATCAGCATCACCAAAAATCCAATTATCTATTAAAATTTTATACACACATGAATAATTATTTATATGAAAATAACTTATTCGTCAATTCGTTAATTTAAAACAGTCTTTTTGTTCTTTGGAAACTTAAACTTTTCTTCTCTATTTATTCTTTTTTCCAACGACACATATCTACAAGATTACTATTATTCTATTCTATTAAATTACCCAGAAAATTAATTGCGGTGTTTAACGGAATAATAATTAATTTTTTTTTTATAGTCCCAATAATTTTTTTATCCTGGTGAATAATATTCGATTTTTTTAGCATTAATGCTAAAAAAAAAAAAATGTTTAGAAAGTGTTCTCTCCCAAAAGAACAATTTCATTTGCTTCAAATTTTATTTATTAAATACACGCATAAAGAATTTGTTTCATTTCCATTGTTAATTAAAGTAATAATGATTAAATAAAAAAAAGTAAAAGGATATTAAAATCAAATCTATACGCAAAACTATACGTAATAAGCATTTATAGTAAGAATTTAAAATTTATCGAAATTTATCTGAGCTGTGTTCAATATTTCCGCAATTTATTTAAGGAGTAATTTAATATTAATATAAACATGCAAAAACATTTTATTGCACGCGAATTTGTGCACGGCATTTTTCTGGCATACGAACGATATGAATTATGAATAATCTTGGAAAAATCGATTTCGAATTCTATTCTCGTTAATAATAGAATTTGTTACGATTACGCTCCTAATAATGTAAGTGCTCAGTTATAATTTTCGTTGTGCATTACCTACACCATTTACCATTTTTTTTTTTTTAATCACCTTTATCAAGAATCTTTAATAACACGCGTCTAATTTTATACAATTTGTAAATTTTTGTATAATATACGTCTCTTTAATAATCCCTTTTTAAAAATCTTCTTAAATCACGATATAAAAAGAATTTTTTAATCGTAAGCCAAAAATGCCAGAATAAGATAAATCTAATAAAATAATGCTAATATGTATAAGGATGAATATATATATATATATAAATTTAATCATAAAATTTTTTTCGAAATCGTAATAATCGTGTTACACTTCTCGTGTTACACGAGAAAATTTTTTTTTTTTTTATCAAAGTATCCAATTAATTATTTCGTGGAAATAAAGTTAAAAAATATTCAGTCTTTATACGTATACGTCAAGTAAATTTTAAACGGATATTTTTCGATAATATATAAGTAAATACGATTATGCGATTAATTCGATTATTCGCTCGATTAAATATATTCAATTTCAATTTCTAATTTAGAAAGAGGACTAATTCTATTATATTTCTTACGCGTTAAAGATTAAAGCAATTTTTGACTATTCTTTACCGGTATAACTTTTTTTAAAATAAAAATTGGTATTCGAAATGGTTTCAGTAACAATGGTATGATGCATTCATTTTTTATATACCATATCGTATGAAAGAAAATAAATATTAACGATGGCGATTTCAATATACACGTAAAAGTTGTCCATAACAGGGATCGAAATTCTTTATTCTCTTTTTTTCCCTTGGATTTCTTAATCTTTGTTGCGAATATCTCCTAAAGCAAAGAAAATTAAATTATTTTTGAATCTATACTATGATACAATCAATCAAATGCCTTTAAATATGTAAAGGTTTTAACGACATATATTTAATATTTAACGAAATCGTTGAAATTACAACGTCCAAATATTGTGTACGACAAACGCAAAATATAGGAAAGAAACATCGATTGAAAAGAAAAATAAAACGTAAGTAAATTGTAGAAAAGTGAAAAAGAGAAAAAAAAAAAAAAAAGAAACGCTTTTCATGCATATATTGCCTGATAGAAATAGAACGTTGCAGAGAAGAATATAAAAAACAATTACCTGAGTGAGAGACTCAGCGTCACGTTGACTATCGTTCATAAGCGATTCAGCCATGCTAATATCATCGTATTCCTCTTGATTCAACATTACAGAGAGTTCGTCGTGCGTCTTAGAGTCCAATCCGCGTAAACATCGCCCGCACAATTGACCCCGTCTATAAAAATTTCAATGTTTCGTTATCGAAAAAGTATCGTCGGTCGATAAATTGATATATACACGTCAGCAAAAATTTTCCTAAATAAACAACTTTTAACGATTATATTTTTAATAACACGTGTAAAGAAATAGGAAAAAAAAAAAAAAAAAAGATCGTAACAATACTCGAGATGTCTCGAGTAAAAAATTATTATACATTTGTGATAGATTGAAAAAAATAATTATCCGTTGAAAAAGACGATATCTACCTTACTTCTTCGAGAGTATTTATCTCCTCTTGAAGATTTTTCACGTCTTGTGCTTTATTACGCCAAACGTTCAACTGTTCCTCCAACGCGTTATTTTCTTGCAACAGAGATGCCAATTGTTGTCGAAGCTCGGTGACCTTTTGCTGTTCTCTCGCCCTCTGACTTCGCGCTTCTTGCAACTGTCTCAACAATTCGGTAATTTCCTCGTCGTTCGTTGGGATCGTCGGTAATTGTCGCACGCTCGAATCCGCATTTGCCTCTTGGAAAGATTTCTGACCAGACGGAGCAGCGTTCTGAAAAAACGTTATTTCCACGGGTTAATAATAATATATCGATCGAATTAATAACAATATATTCGAAAAAATATTTCGAATATATTCGAAACATCGTATATCGTAAATGTTATCGTCAATCGATAAAAAATTATCAGAAAAAAGAAACTATGTATCCACGAACTGTACGTGAGAAACAAGTAATAAAAATGGTTTAAACGACGACCGCATTGTGAGAAGCCGTATAAGATAACTCCACTTATCTATCGAAATTTCGTTAGCGGCGGATTAAACGAATTCTTAGCGATTAAATTCACTTATCTGAAAGTAAACTTGAATGTATATAGCAAAGAATCACGATATCCACGAATATATATATATCTCATATTCTTTTTCCGAGAAAAATAAAAGAAGATTCGATCGAGAGTTATTCGATTAAATGGCAATAGAAATTTTTCTAAGGAAATCGAATAGGATGAAATTTTTATCTTTTTAGAATTTAGTAGCAAAACGGAATAATTATCGAAATCTTAGATCGTGGAAAATGAATTGTATGAATAATAATTACCTGTTGTGTGCTGCTACCCTGCGTGACCGATACTTTCCAATGAATGGTGTGTGTTTGTGTGATGTTGTTAGTCGATTGACTCGTAGATTGTTGCCGGAGCAGACTTTCATGTTGTTCGTTTATCTCGTCGATTTTCTTCTGAAGTTCCTCGCACCTCGCTTCTAGACTCTCGATCGTTAAACATTGACTGTCAACAAATTACGAGGAACGATTTGTCAATTTAATTTTTTTTTTTTTTTTTTTTCCTTCCCGTTAAATGATCAACAATCGAGTTTCATTCGAGCGAATTCTTGTAACATTGATGGATCGAAAAAGATGATCACTTAGGATGGAAAAACTCTTATCCATCAAGTTTGCGTACAATGAATCGCGATAAAATTGAATAACAGTACCAAGACGATCAATCCTCATACCTCTTGATCAATTTTTTGTCGCTGGTGTTCTCAATTACCAGACGATGATTTGCACGTTCCAAATCTTGAATACTGACTTCGAGTTGCTCGTAAATTTTCAGTCGCGAATCGTTTACTTCTCTAAGGGCAGCGGTTTGTTTTTTCATATACTGGAAAAAAGTATTATATCTTAATTTAAACGTACGATTCCCGCGGTCGACGGAAATATATTTCAAAATGTCGAAAAAAATCACCTCTATTTCTTGTGCTTGTTCCTCCACGGTCGATTGATGCGCTTTAATAATATTTTCCAATTCCTTGTTCCGTTCCAAAAGCGTTTTTCCAAGTTCTGCCGCTAATTGTAAATCTGAAATAAAAAAAAATTTCCGATCAATTTTAAAATTCTTTAAAATTTTCACGTTTCTATTTCAAGACATAGACGTATAATCGAAAAGATCATTCGTTCTTTTTCCCGGCATTCGCGAGTTCTCATTCTCGAATAAATAAATATTTTAATTTCTGTCTCATTAAAACGAATTTCCCATCATTGAATGATAATAGTAGGAAAAAAAAAAAAAGGAAACGAGATATAACGTCAGAGAGAATGATAGGCACATACAGATATCCGCAGTGGTTAATTTGCGCGTAGTTTGATTATTCTTAGGACTTAAATGAGATCCGATCTATGGTCAACGTCCGATGCTCTCTCTCTCTCTGTCTCGTTAACGATGACGAGACAGACGAGCGATTCGAAACGATGGTGGATGTTGGGTACGGTAAGCGGTTGTTTGTTGGCTCGTTGCATTTCCTCGGTCCGAAATCGACGACCTCCCCATCACCGAGCTTAGACGCGAGGATGAAGCGTGATCTAGCTAGGGCCAAGGACCTTGGAGTCGCGAGGAAACGACCCAACTACCGTTTTCTCCTTCCCATCCCCCGCTCTCATTAATGCTTCCCGACTCGCTTCATAGCGCCACCACGCAAATCCCATTCTCTTTCTCTTTCCCTAATTCGCACAATCTTCGCATTTCTCATACAAAAATCTCACCACTACGATTATAATTTTCACCATGCGACATACACTTACATTTCATCCTGCCTTTTCATCCCCCCCTCCCTGTTGAATATTTTCCCATATTTCGTAAAAAATATAATTACTGCTAAGGAACTAAATTAAGAAGATTAATTTACATATGATTCGAATATCACGTCACGCTTCGAGCTCTTTTTAAGAATAAATTACACACAGTTTGCGAATATATGCAACATAACGTTGGAATCACTTTGAAAAAAGATACGCATTTTCTTGCATTCTTCGCGTTGTCACGTTGAATCGAAATATTTTATATATTCTTTTCTATATATATTATTTACACGTAACGTACTGCAATTTGTACTGTTTGCAAAACGTAAAAATAATTACGTTAAAATTGGCAATCGTATCTTTAGAAAGATTCGTTGACACTTGTCCGATAAAATCGACGAAAACAAAAAGAGGAACGAAATCACTAGAGATCTCTCGTATATCCATATTTTATCCGTTAACCGCACATTTTCGAACGCACCGAATCATCGCTGTTCGAACGAAAGATCGCGTATACCTTCCGGGCCTTGAAGACAAGAGAGTTCGATCGAATAATCCCAACAATCCAAGGAATTCATCTGAGCCTGTGGATCCCAGACCACGTCCACGCTAGGACCGCTCATCTTTCCAGATCCACAATTCCAACTCGATCAACTCGAACTCGCGCTTTTTCTTCGTTCCCCGTTCTTTCGTGAACGCAAGTGTGTCTCTCTCTCTACACTTGATATCGTTTTTCACTTTCGAAGGGACGAATCTCCTCCTCTCTCTCTCTCCACCGATCGATCAACCGCTCTGAATGAAAATAAAATTGGTCCATCCAGATGATATTCAGATTCGAGCGTTACTCTCGGTTTATCTCGAGCACAACCGGTTCCAACGAAGGTAGCCGGTCTTCTGTGAATCGGTACAGGTTACTTAGGTACCCGTGGAACGTGCTTAGCCAAGGCCCAAACGTCCAATGCCCATCCACCGCTAACCCGCGACCAACCGCTCGTTCCCTCTCTTCGCGCCAAGCCCTCCACCCCCCCTTCCCTATCCCTTCCCTTCCAGCCGTTCCCCCTCCCTCGCCACTACCTGCGTCCACGCTGCGTCTCGGTGTAATTCCCTTCTGGCGACCACACTGACCATCTTTCCTCGGCTACTCTCACTCCCAGCGTGCCCACCTCTTTTTCCTTTCCCTTCTTCCAATTCCGTATCTCTTTCTTTATACCGGGTATACACACGTGCAAAACTTGTCCCACTTGTGCTACTTTTATTTCAAAATCAGAATCTTTGATTAAATCTAACGCATGGGAACGCACTAATCACCTCGATTACGCGTAACAAACGCGTACGATCGAATCGCGAGGAAACGATGCGATTTTTTTTAAAATATCTTTCATTGAAAAAAAACGACCACGATATTTTCGTTCGAATCAATATTTATACAGAAAGAAACTTTTGCCAATAATAACGTTCGAATAAAACCATCAATTGTCACGTCTGGTAATTTTCCGTTAATTTTCTCTTGCTTATTGTCCGTTTATTTGTAATGTAAAGTGGGATACCTATATAAGATATTGAATATTTATAGACTCGACGTACGGCAGTAACTGTATAGCATTCGGTATTTCCATACGCATATAATAATATTTCATCGAAGTTGGTTAAAACTTTTTTGCAACGAATGTTTATTCGTTATATTAACTTTATCGATACGAATCAACGAATCATATTATATTAAGAAAATAATATTAGTAATTTTTTAATATCGCGACGATTTGAAATCAACGTGATTATATTTATCGAATCAAAACAAACTAACTAGCGGACGATATCGATCGAACGATACGACGACACATAGAAATATTCGAAAACGAGGCGATGATCGGCCTCGTCGATCGCGAGAAGCGAGATCTCGTTCTCGGGAATCGCGATAAACGACTTCCTCGTGGTATTTTCGATCGAAATAACCTCTGGCGACCTCGAGTCCTTTGGCGAATCGAATACTTTCTCCTGGGAATGGCTCGCGAAACGTTATTAATCTCTCGATCGGTCGAAATAAAAGAGAGAAGGCTATTGTTGGCGTGGACCGAGAGCACACAGCCGCATACCCTCTCCTCCCAGCCACCGCACAGGTGCACCTATACGCGAGAACGCCGACCTTTCCAGACCACCAAACGCCACCATGCGGTGTGAAACCTACCTCATCTAACTGGACCATTATCGCGCCAACACCACACCCTTTATCCATTATCTTTTACAAACTAACTGAATTTCACGCTTTGCTTTTACCGTGTCGATCGCATCCAATTTATTGCCGGATGCGGCTCCCAATCGTATCTCCATACTTTCTACCCTTCTTGTCCATATTTCCAAGATTTTCACCTCTAATAATCGCGTAGTAATTTTTTCTTCCGTTCCAAGCTTTGCAATCGATAATTCGATCGATATCGACAACATTTATTACGTTCAAGATTAGGAAATTGGCCGTGAAATTTTTCGTGCGAAAACATTGGAACGAAAAGCGTATATCTGCAAGTGATCGCTCGTGTTCGCAAACCTTTCTATTTCTTAAATAAGGCGACGCGCAAAAAGTTTGCCATTGACTCGAACTCGAATCCGATCCTACGAGCCACGTAGAAATACGTGGGCTCGGTTCTCATCATTGTACCGTACAGAGCGCACGCGACATTCTACGAGTTTATTTCTCTTCCAAAGATGTTCGCGCCATAAATTCCACGGATCTAGAATCTCTTCTTATACCATTTATTTTCAAATACGTATGCGTTATATACGTAAGAGTCAAAGAGTGTATGCGAGAAAAACATTCTCCTTCGTAGCGTAGAATTTCTTCGAGCATTTCGTGCATGCCTATATTTCCTTGTATAATTTTATTTCAAACAGAGAATATTGCGATACACATTCATTTCGTAGTCCTGATTTTTGTTGTTGATATTTTATTAAAAAAAAAAATAAATAAATAATAAGAGAAAAGTATCCATTGAAATAGTATCAATGAAACGAGACAGGAATTCGAATTCCTGTTTATTTGCTTTAACGGGAGAGAAGGTAGGCTTGGTTCATAAACGAGGTGCGAGAGCATTGTACTTAAACCCCGAGAAATCTGCTCTTTCTCACGAGCCAGAAATTATAAAAACAATACGTAATAACGCTTCATCTTATCCGATCTGATCCGTTGAAAATTCAACGGAATGGATAGGTATCGTAGCGGAAGAAAGCACGTTCGAAGGGAAAGGATGAAAGCCGAGTGGAGTCTGATCCTTCCCCCTCCATCGATGCGCGACAATTCTTCGAGTCGCGCAAGACGCGTGTTAATCGCGTTCGTTTCTAAATTGCGGATTCGGCAACGCGGCGCGACCAATGAGAATCGAGCGCTACTTCGATCGATACGACGCGACAACCATGCGTCGAAACAGGACAAACGCGTGATAATTGAAATCGATTGCACGACGCTATGTTGAAATGTCGATGCGTAAATTTATGAGTATTTCGAGATGATTTTGTCAACGTTTCCAACCATATTTCATCGTTAATATCGTTATTGAAATGGTAAAAAATGATGGATAACGCGCATATAATGGATAGTGGTGCAACAGCGAAGAACAATTTCGAAAAAATGTCGCGTCACGAACAGAAACGAGTAAAATGTTATTCCGTTTACTGTTTAGAAATATTCAAATTCGCGTCGTTCCAATTATCTTATTAAAAGAATCATTTTATCGAGGATATTTAATCGATTCGTTGTATAAGGGTAATCGTGATATCTTGAAACGATGATCGACGTATAGACAACTGTGGTTACCCAACTTAACGTTAGTGGAGGGACGAGGCAAATGGTAAAAAGATTGTTTTCTAATGGTTTACGGCGATGTAATTACACCTTCGAAAGTACGTTCGACGTTCACACGCGGATGATAATTTAGGAAGAAGCGTGTCCGTACATTCAACGAACGTGTGCTGTTACGTGAAAATTACCGTGTTGACGATAAATACCGAATCACTAGTTTCACATCCTTAGGGCTTGGCTGTCGCGAAACGAACATCTTCCTCGCTGATATTACGCGAATTCAATTAAAGCCAATTTCTATGGAATTCCATTTACCAACGTTGATCGTAGTTATATTATTTTATCACAGATGTTGTTTAATAACTTGGCGAAAAGATACATGTAAAAAAAAAAAAGAAAAAGAAAAAAAAACGCACTTTCACCGTGGTATCGTTTAACGTTAATGTTTCGAACGCGAAACATCGAATCCATATTAGGCCGGGGTCTTTGTTAC